TAAACTAAATAAGAATGAGTAAACAAACGTAAAGGACCCTTTTGTGAATAGTTAATTTAAGTTGTAGGACTCTTTGAAATTTCGATAATTTTCATTCTTAATAAACCAACCACCACGAATAATCATTTTTCTACATCTAATCAGCTAAAAGAGAACAATCTTCCAAAACATTTTTTTGATAGTATTTTGTTATATAATCCTTTTTTATATGTTGAGAAATTTTTAATCAAACAAAGTAGTTACATAACTGGTAAGATAATTTGAAATTCGAGAGTGTTACACTAAAGAACATATCAACGGTAAATTTACATAGAGAGATCGGACATTCCTGATGAAAACAACTTAATGTTTCCAGTTCAATCGTTTGTCATGTTTCAAGCTTACCAAGGAGAATTTCTAAAAATTACTCATTTTTTGCAAGGACTTTTAAAATCAGCACACCTTTTATAACTTTTCGTTTGAGCTAACAGGTATTCTTTACTGTTGCTTCTATGGCAGACTGAAGATTATATCAATCTATTATGGGATGAATGTCCTGTTTATGATTCACTACATTTCTAGCTAGCAATTCAGTAACCACATTCAATAATATAACATAGATAAGCTATTTGACATGCTCGTGAGATATTTGCAATCTCTAAAAACAGCTCACTAATACAATAATATTCAGAACTCATTGACATTCTAACCAAAAATTACTTCGATTCAACATCGTTACGCTGTTCCCGAGAAAATCCAGTAATTATATATGTATTATAGAAAACTTATGGATCCGGTTTTGATTAACTTGTTAAATCTAGATTTAGAAATCATAATTTAGAGAAAAAAACTAATTCATATTCATAGCATTAATATAACAAAATCTACTTACATTCTCAACGGTAAACAACTTAGCACTTATTACTTCTCTTTCTTCAGCTTCAGGTCCCAAACTAAAGCGTCGAACAAACTTGCCATGATGATTTAATACTGTGGTAAAACCTGTTTTTTGAACAACTAATAAATCCTCTGATAAAGTCCAACCAAGCAATAAACCGGGTGCATCTTTCCACTGAAAAAGAGAAAATTCAATCATTACACCGACTAAATGACTTTATATTATGAAATGAATTTTCAGTATCGAAAAACAAGATTTAAATAAGAAGTTGGACAAGAAGTAAAAAAATGGGTCAGTTTCTAATAACTGTGATCAAAATGCAAATGTTCTAGTCACATTACCATTTTCAGAAATTGAAGCATCACAAAATTGTGATAGCTCATACTCTACACCTATTTTTATGTCATGTCATGAATAAGACTTTCAGTTAGTTATGGCATATATACGACTTGAAACAAACGTGCATTGGTTCATGATTTTAATAGAATATTTAATCCGCTTTATTGGGGAAGGATTCCAAACTTCTTCAAAATAATTCCCTATCTTAACTGCTAAATAATCCTTTCAATAATAACTGTGTTCCACCTTATAATTGAGGTTTCATGGCTTCTGCAAACAGGTGACATCAAGAAAATCCCATCAGACAACTATCGTTGTAATTTCATTAGGTTTTAATCTCGAAAATTTGTCCAAGGTTTTCATAGTACAACAAACTAACACTTCAGTCATATGAAAAATATAACATTGCCGGGAGAACTTTGAACCATACTGAAAAATTTGTAGAATTGGTTTGTAAACACCAACTGAACAACTTTATAGTTTATGATGTAATTGTCTGATTCCGTTTATAAATTATTCTTTGGACGATACTGATCTGGAATTTCTTCCGCGCTAAAAACATTTCAACCTCAGGGTCATAAAAAAGTTAAGAAGATAATTAAAAAAATTTAAGCAGCAGTTTTTTTAGACTACTTTTTGAACCAACCGGTTTTTAAAATAGCAGCTGCCTTGAAGTGGTGGTCGGACTTGCCTATCATGATGACTCAAACGAGATATATTAGCTGAAATACATGTCGCTTGTGCGCTGTCTAACTAGACGGGGTAGTAAGGACTCGGACTCGTCGCATCTGCCTATGCTCCAACTGACTGCAGTTCTGACGAGGTATAAGATGTGTTTTACAGAAACCTCTCTAACCTTCACAAAGTTAGGCGCTCTGATGTAGTAATAATGGCTGTTGACTTTAATGCTCAAGTAGGTAGACGCAGTGAAAAGGAAAGATACCTGGGTGGATCTTATGGTGTCGTGGCTGAGAGACCAGATAATGGCGACCGTCTGCTGCAGCTATGTTCAGATAAACATCTATGCCTAGCAAATACTAATTTGAAGCACAAGGAAAAACATCTTTCGAAATGGAGGCCATCAAAGCCGACCCACTGATAGCGAACAGTGGTGGGTAGCGGGAATGAAAGAGGCGGAAAAGGTAGCGGCGATAGGCAACAGTAGACAACTACTCAGACTTATCAAGGAAACCAGAATTAGGAATCCGACTTAGAGTGAGACTGTTTTGGAAGTGGACGGTACTATTATTCATTCTCAGTCCAGAAGATTGGATCGATGGGCAGAATACTTAATAAAGCAGTTTAACTGGTCTTCAGACACACTTGGGCTACCTAGGATTTCCATTTAGCCTGAATGGCAAGTTGATGAAAGTGCTTCAACTCTTAACGGGGTTGAAAATGCTACAGGAAATTTAAAACTAGGGAGAGCAGCAGGTCCAGATTGGTTAACCTCCGAGATTTTTAAGTATGTGGTCCAGTTTTAGCAATTAAATTAACTGAGATTTTAGGTAGAATCTGGGAACTGGGCATGATCCCATCCGATTGGTTTCAATCACTGACGGACTAAAGTTTCCTTGCGACAGTCAGAGAGGAAACAATCAATCAATAAACAGGAATGTAGAACTTCGAACGTAAGGAAATCAGTTTAAGTTGCCATATCACATTAGCACAGAGACGTAATAGTCAGTTCAAATCCCGTAGTAGTAGGGGTAGTAGAAGTATTAGCAGCAATCGGAAATTTTAGCGTTCGAGGATATTATTTAAGAAGTAGAATCTAGTGAAATCAACTTAAAAATAAAAATACTAGTTGGTGAGGAATTAAGAAGTTTATGATTTGAGAGGACATAAAGAATAAATGCACCGGCGCCATTGCAAGCGGATTTGAGCCATGTCATTCAGGATCTCCAACCATCGATTACTATCGTCTCGTGGACCCCAACCAAGTATTCGACAGCTACCTACATGACTTAGTCCACTTGTTAATGACTTCATGGGTTTCTGCTATGTTTTGATTTGGCCACCCCTAGCTTTCGTCCAACCTATTCCTACGTCACAAAACATAGCTTGACGAAGTAGTCGGTGGTTAGGCATACGCAACACATGTTCCAGCCACCTCAACTGATAAAGTTTCACTATTTCATCTGTTGACCAACTTTGGAGACACCTATGATCGAAAACCAGTAATCTACCAATATCTTCTACTTTTAAAGGCCATTTTTCACAGCCATATAGTAGGACAGAGCGAACTATCGCGCAGTTCACTCATCCTTTGGTCAGAAAACAGATATCACACCTACGCCATAAGTGACGTAGGTTGGCAAAAGCCAATCGAGCCTTCTGTATCCATACTGAGATTTTGTCACACACCAGGCCATCAGAACTGATGAGACTACCTAGATAAGTGAAGCGGTCAACACACTCGACTATTCCACTCCCTATCACTAGTTCAGGTCCCAATGTAACCCATTCTTCAAGCAACATTTGTATTTCGATGGGGAGAATCGCATCCTGAACATGCTTGCATTATTGCTTAGGGTAGTCAGAAGATTCTGCACTTTTTTAGCGTCTTCAGCAATGTAGACTTTAAGTTATATGTTAATGCATAGTTGGTAACATGGTTATCTCTACGGTTAGAGAACAGATTTATTTTGTACTTAGGTTTTAAATTAGTGTACGGGTTTAGCATCGGAACATTATATGCGTTTGGGTTTACTACCAGGTGAATAGCTTTCTTGTGACCATAAGATCTCACACAGAAAACCTTCTGGGACATGGAGTAATAATTATCATGTTAACCAGAAGGTGAATTTAAATACTTGATTTCAAAATGACAAATACAGTTTCAATCAACTCACAACATGTTGGGAAACAAGTTTGCCTGACGATGTATATACCTGAAGTATAGGTTTTGCTCCCGCTTGACCATCCAAATACATTGCTAAACAAAATAAAAGCACTGCTAAAAGTATTCTTACCGATATAACCAGAATACTGACAAATGGATGTTTTGTATTGTGATATAGAAAATCCCGCACCCCATGGCATATCATAAAGATGAAGCTTTCTAACATACCATAAAGATCGAAATCAACAACTACCTAAAATATATGTCACCAACAGCAAACCAGTCTTCACCCAATATTGTCATGATGAAGTATCAGGAAAGTGCTATCCACGATTAAAATTAAGATAACGTTTAACGACTGGAGATAACGGTCGTTAAGAAAACACAAATCCTGTAATGAGATATGCATAAAATTTAGTGAACGATATGGTCAAAAAATATAATAATGGTAGAAAAAGGGCAGAAACGGTATTTAAAGGAGTTGAAACATTAATCTAAGCAAAGAGAAAGTTAAATGCGTGACGTCCAGCGCTGACTCGGGTGGGAGTCTACGTATGCGTGAATCAATGTATTAGCATCAGCCTTAATAGCATCAAATAAATGCTTGGGTTACTTGGCTCGAGAAAAATTGCAGATACGAACCTCAGTTCACCTTATTTTTTCAAGTACATAAGTAATACCAATAGCATTTATATCAACACTATAATTTAGAACCTACTTTACGAATCTATGATTTTTTGAAACCACGAATCGACCAATGTTAGACCACCATTAGAAACCTGGAAGCACTGGACGGCCGTTTCGTCCTGGTATGGGACTCCTCAGCAGTGCGCACCCACGACTCCTGCACCCCGCAGGATTCGAACCCAGGATCAAGTTAGACATTGACACCGCTAGATATCGGCTTAGTGGTCTAACGGTTAGGGCGTTCGCGCACGATACCGAAGGTCCTGGGTTCGAGTCCTGAGGGGTGCAAGAGTCGTGGATGCGCACTGCTGAGGAGTCCCATACCAGGAACAAACGGCCGTCAAGTGCTCCCAGGTTTCTAATGGTGGTCTAACATTGATCGATTCATGGTTTCAAAAAATGTGTAACTTAACAATCTTTACAACCCCGTAATGCAAATCTATGATTGGCAAATAACTCACATTATTATCAGAGTTAGGTGATGGCTAGCAATGAAATCCAGAATGCATGTTAACACTCGGTTGAGACTCATCAGATGGATTTACCTATATCACAAAATTGATGTTTATTCAGGCACTCAGACCCAGTACCGTTTAATGTAAACGCTACTGTGTTACCTACTTAGTTGGTGGGTCCAATTAACCACTGACTTGTGTAATGTGGCACACTTGAATTCATGTGTGTCAGTTGTTTCAATCTACTCACTGATGTTTAGGACTGTAATTTATCAGTCTTTTTGGCATGTGTGGATCGCCTCAGTATTACTGCTAAGTCATAGATATTATTAACAGGGAGAGATGGTGGCTAGCAACAAAACACAGAACGAGAGTTGTGATCTATTTGGGACTCGCCAGCTTTAAATGCACCTGCATCAAATAACTAACATCTAGTCCGTCACGAGTTTCAAGTAGGATGAAACGTGCATTTTGTTTCACTGTTAGCTGCCATTCATGTAATTCTTGTGTCAATAGCATCATTTAGGCAATCAGCACAGGATATACGTATTCCAAAAGAGACTGAATAATTGACGTATTGCATTACGGTGCCTGACTGGGATTATTGAAATGCTACTTTTAACGTTTTGTGTAACTAATACAAGTGATAGGTTGTTTCAAGAGGTTATGTTATACCAATACTTTACTCCGAAATTTCATTTTCCGAAAGAAAACTTTGTAACAAATAAATAAATTGTAGAAAACGATCTGTGTGAAGTCCAATTTTCGAATCTCATGGAAGAAATAGATGGTCACAATTTCAATTCAGTAGCTCATAGCGCACAGATCGCATATTTACGAACGAGGATTTCTTAGTAGAAAGTCCTCCATAACCCTGATTTGAGGCAAAATACTGCAATACGGTTGTAGAGTACTCTTAAAAAATTGGGACACAACTTATACAAATAAAAGACTGCAAAATTTATTATAGGGCAAGACAAGCTATAGTGTCAGCCTATGCTTACTGACAAGTTTTTGTTAAGGTTTTTAGTTCATCCCATCATGAGAGTTCCCTTTATTTTCCAGTAAAATTGACAACTGGTAGGTTGACCTGTGTCATGCTTTACAGTATTTATGCGAATATTCAGTTTATTCTTGACAATGTTCAGATATGGAAATAGTACTGCTTATACAGGTATAGAGTCTTAGTCGTTGGCCACTTGATGATAAAAACAGAATAAGTTTATTCTGAACTGTTTAGTGATAGCTTCGGAAATAATGAATACTAAAGGAAAAATAAAAGGGTTTGAATACCCAAAAACCAAGTACCTCCCAATCATAAGAATAAGAGCTTTAACTGCTTATGAAGCTAATGTAGCAAAGACAATTCCTTATTGGCAAAAGATCTACTCAGATGTCCGAAAAATATGTCACAACCTGACTTAAGAGCGTTTGAAATGAAAAAAAATATATGAGTTTAAAAGAATATTCAGTATTAGCGACACTCATTATTAAGTATTCATACTTGTCTTTAATCCCGGGAAAGGTATAAGTAAACTCGTGCCACACAGAAATGAAACAGAAACAAAAAACTAACAGTTTAGTGGCCTGTTTTAATGCCGAAAGTATTCAGTTTTTCAGTATGCAACGACCTAAAATCCTGTTTCACTTCGATAAACTTTTTAACTCAAGCCAAGTGCCGAAGTGACTAATAAGGACTGAGCGAATCATAATATGAAAAATCCTCTAGTTCGCAATCAAATAATCATCTCTGCATTTAATCGTCCTCCATTAATAGCCCATTGTCATCATGTAAGTATTCGTTATGCGAATACGCTGTATATTCAAAAACTATAGTTATCTCATATTGTCTGAAACTATGTCAGAATAAGTGTTTTCGTAAGCTTTTAAAAAAACTACCTTCGAATACATATAGATAAAAATCAAAGCAATGTGCTATAAATACCTCTCCGTAACGCACCAGTTGTAAAGTCTAGTTAGGTAAGTCCAATAAACAATATTTTTTTAACTAGTGGCCAAGTCCAGAAATTTTATTTTCGCTTGATTTCCTTATTGGAAGCCAGCTTCATTTTCTGATAGATTTTATTAAGTATTTTTTAATTTCGATGGCTTAATAATTGTAGGTAAGTTGTAGCTGTATGAGTTAGCGTTCGTCTAAAGCAGTTACAATTAACAGAAACAATATTTACTCCCGTCTTTTCCCTTGCGCCGCGCATGGTCCTTCTAAACCTTTTGTTAGTGAACATGTGACGGATCTGATCCGGCGAAAGTGGTGTGGATACGAATGTGTGAGAATACTGTGCTGCCCATGACCAGTTTGTTGAATGCACATAGAATTGCATATCCTTCACAGTCTATGTCGTCCCATGCATCTCCATATGCAGTGTTGTCCATTCCACTCTTGACAATTAGGCCTCCCATCAGAACGGTCATATCCCTTGATGAGAATCCCTCGATAACTGACCGCTGCCTCTCGTAGAAGTGGTGTTTATTATCTTCATTGTACTCGTGGGTAGGTACAGAGAATTGCATGACAATCATAATAATCCCGTTTCTGGTTGTCCTGAAGAATGCTTTGATGATCCTAGTACAACTAGATTCCCACCCTATGAGTGCTTTATGGGCATTTTGGATAGCACTAGTGCACACCTTGTGTATTTGGCGCATTCTCTTCTTCCTGCTCAGAGTAAAACAGCAGCTCTCTTGAAGCTAGTCTTTGTTGTCCAAAGTTTTTCCTACGTGTTTTACTGATTATAAGCGACTCCAGGTTGTATCTTTTCATTTCTGAAGCAACCTGGATAACTCTTCCCATCTCTCACAATGTATGAACGTTCCATGTACATATATTAGTTGTTGCTCTGGTTGTGAGAAGGGGCATCTGTCTCGTAACTTCCAAACAAACTCCGCTTTAATCATGAGCTTTCATAACTTATCATAGCTGTCAGCCGATCATAAAGTTCAATTTGCATCTGTTCGTCGGAATCGCAAACGGAAGCTTGTATCTGAAATTCTAACGTATAATCTCTGAGTCTGAGTACGACCTTATTTATTGAACTGTGCTTTTTAGTGCGTCTCGAACGTCAACACATGAAAATGGTCAGACTGTAATCCCTTAGGTATGTTAGACGGAATTAGAATAGGTTTATCATGATATGAAATGTTATTTGTTAAACTATAGGCCCTTGTCCCGATAGCAGCTACTAAGTAGCCAGAAACTCTATCTTCCTTGATGTTATGAGACAAGTATCAAATGATTCTTAACATTCCTCTATTTTCTGCATTGAAAGGCAAACTCCTAAGGTCAATGAATTCTATTTCTACAGCCACACCAGATATAGAACTGAAAGGATTTATATAAATGACACTGATGGCAATATCTCTAGAACTTCGACAAGACAAAGAGAAGAACTCGTATTTGGAGTCCATAAAAAGAAAAGAGGATTCAATCGAGCTTCAAAAGGACCTTACATCTACTGAGGTATGGGAAGTAAAAAACGGTTTAAACATAAAGAGTAGAAATTTCACGTTGTGAGCTTTCTACCAAACGTGACTCAAACGACTCACACCTTCGATGGCAGCCGGTTGTCTAATGAGTGTTCAGAGCGATATCTCAGTTTAGTACCCACACAACGCACAGACACCGGTTTGAACTGTATGGGGGAAGCAGACAACGCTTTCAATCATGATTTATTGTCATTTTTGTTGAAGAAATTAGCACCCACGTGAATTGAGTTTCACAACATCGTTGCACCCCCTCTTCTTTAAAGAGACATTAATCTCTTGAAGTGAGTGCAGAGATGGGCTGCGAAATGGGCGACTGTGTTGAAGGATAAAACTTACGAAGATAGACTCCGCAACTTGGGATCATTCTCCCTGAGTTACAAGAGCGGTGTTCTAAAAGTGGCATAGAACATAATAACCACGCCAAACTATCCCAACGTGAGCATCTTACCGATGCATCACCACCACTCCCCCCGAGGTAATACTCGAAAAATAGCGCATCAGGAAGCGAACACTCAGATTCGTACACACTTTTTTCCATTAAATGTTGTTGCAACTTGTCATGCTCTTCCAGCCGAGGTGACCACAAGCCATTTGGAGGACAGGTTTAAGAAGAGACTTGATTAACTCACTTACGGATTTCATTCTCCCTTGTGGACCAGCTGTACCTAATTCATCTCTTGGGAGCTGCTAGTTGTTGTTATTACCATCTCCTCAGGTAACTAACTTAATTTGTCTCGCTTATTATCTCTGTTTCCTTTCCCTCATCTACATCTCGGTCTTCTCGCACAGTCTTCACTAACAATTAATGAACTAAGGGATTCATTTATCCACTTAGTTCCTTAATCTTCTTCTTAGTACTAGAATTTTTTCCCTATTACTCCATAAATTGCAATTTACTGATCCTTGGCCCGGTAAAGTGATAATTTCTAGTATCCAGAAACCCTAGTACCCTGAATCAAACGTATTCATTCGAATCACGTGACATGCAAACTTATAAACAAATGTCGACTGACTATAATTAGCGCAGTTAAGTGGCTATATAACCACCTAACTATCAAATACCTAGATACGTACCGAAAGAACGAGAATAGAAAGCAAAAATCAAGTTTTTTTGGAAAAGCTCGTGAAGAAGATATTGGAAAGTGAAGCGCCTTGTATGATGGCTAGCGCTAAGCGCACTTGTGAAGGCTTAGTGAGTTTAGTCTATGCGACAGTTTTTCGATAACCTTTTCCCGTAATATCTTTTATCCGTATAAATTTCTTAATTTTTATTCATAGACACTTGTTCATATATGCTTATTCACGCACTTATATCAATTATCGTTCCATTATCATTCCTTCCATAAATTATGTTCTTACGTTCTAGCCTATACAGTTACGGTTACTGAAGCAGAAGTGTGTAGAATAAGTCTTGGATTCATAGCTCAACGTTCTAAAAAGCTTTCTGTTCGCCGTTCAAGTTACGTTGAAAACGTAAATGCTTTTCTTTAATTCAGCACATACAACTGGATTATTAATTGCTTGTCAGACAACCAGAACAGAAAGGTGTTATTAAAATTACAGCCAACCTCAGTAAATCTTCCGAATGTTGACGAAACGATTAATAACTGCCTGTAATGATCCTACTTTATTCAATAACATGCTCTCAGATCAGCTGTTTTTGTTTTGGTTCCTTGTTTCCGGTAGTTTTAATTGTTGCGCAATCCTTCCATGTAGTTTCAAGTTCACGACCTAATTCAATAACCGAGTGGAGTTTCAAGTTCTCGAGTATACTTTTTGAGATTTGTGGACTCTGCAGGAAATCTCATACTAGTATTCTAACTTGCCAAGCAGTAGCTACAACCGAAATGCTTTAATCACCAATCTATCACAAGTAAATAACAGGATATCCCATCTAATATAATTTGCACATTAAAGTTTTCATATCCATAATTTCATTTGGAAGTTAATACTTAGTATTTTCAGATTGAAATTCTAGTTTCAGTTTGTTTCCATCTTATGATTCTTCAGATTGACTTCGAGTTCAATGAAGCAAAGTATGATTCCAGTAATCCTTTGGTATTACCTGGGAAGGATGAATCCCTATCTAAAAGAAAACGCCCATCGAACCCCGACCAAATTGTACAAAGCCAAATTTTATCTAAAAAGCGACGTAAAGAGTTGATAAGAAAAGTAGCTCAGAAAGAAAAGAAACTCTCGGTAACATAATTTTGTATATATTCAGTCTTTAGCGTTCAGAGTTGTGGAAGGAATTAGAAGAGTACAAAAAGCCTGAGACTGCCCCACATATTTCTGTCTTGCCTCTGTTCAACAAACTTAAAAGAACAGAAAAAAAAGCAACCAAGTAAATTTATTATTTTTACGCGCGATCTTTTAGTTCCAGTATCAGGGGAAAATCTTGGAAACGGCAGTGTGATGATATATCAGATTCTTCCAAATCTACAGACGAATATAGCAGTGATGAATCTGTTTCAGCGAACGAAATTTCTTTTACTCCTGTGGTCTCAGAACAAGATCAAGCTAAAAATGAAGTTAACACACCCACCCCAAAAATTCCTGAACACAGTAATGAAACTGAAACTCTTGAGACAGGAAAAGTTTCTAAACCTGCTCGGTTTGTCCTTGTTTCAAGAACACCTGAGGTTGTAGCGTCTCGTCTCGCTCTACCTATTTTGTCTGATGAAGCAACTATTATGGAAAGTATCAGTGAAAACGATTGTGTCATAATATGTGGCGCTACAGGCTGTGGTAAAACTACACAAGTTCCGCAGTTTCTGTATGAGGCGGGTTATGCTACGTATGTGTTTCTAACTGTTTTATGTTGAGATAAACATTGTAGCATCATTTATTTCTCCGTTTGTTCCTTCAGGACCTCAGGGCCCATATACACCATTGACTCAGAAACAGGGCTTTATAGCTACCCTAGGTGAATCCCCAATACTCACCAATCCGGTTAAAGCTCTGGTCATTTGCTTCACCTCTACATTTTGTAACCAACACCACTTCGAGAAGGCGGTGAGTAGAACCCGCCCCAGCAGAAAGTTAGTAAAATATGCTGGAGTGGATAAGACAATACTAGCCTTAACTCGGAACCATCAGGGCGAAACGGGGAGAGACGAAAACACGCTGCGTTGAAAATTAGAGGCAGACATTGAAAGTATGGACAACATTTTAAAAAAATTGGAAAGGAGAGCTTAGAACAGAGCGGATTGGTGATTCCTGGTTAGTGACCTATACCTCACGAATTGTAACAGGCATAAGGAAGTAATAACAATCTCTTTTTAAGAATTAGGTTACTACTCAATGTCCTCTTCAAACTACTTTTATGTGGCTAAGGTCTTGGTTGTCAGTTAGAAAGTTATTAATTTGTGCTGCTTTGATGCTTCAGTAACCATTGAAACCTGGTTAGGCGTCCCTCGTCTAGCCTTGAACGGAGATCCAAATTTTACTTCATGGCGAATTAAAAACTGTCCAACGCTTGAACACGACGTGTGTCATGGACAAAGTTGGATGAACAGTAAATGTATCCTAATATTTATCGTTATTTGATTACATACCTATTTATGTCGGTGGTTTGACCGATTGAAGGTACCTATTAAATGGCTCGTTTGCTCCATAAGTTACTGTTCTCATTATTTTTGATAAGTTTCATGGTTTATTACTGTTCATAATTTTTAGAGAGGGGTATATGATTGGAATAACAGAACCCCGCCGTGTGGCTGCGATATCTATGGCAAATCGAGTTGGCGAGGAATTGAATTTAACGCCTAGGTATGTGTACAACATAATGAAACATAAGGTAATCTGGATATTGATTACGAAGCAATTTTATTTCTGAAGTTTAGTTAGTTCGTAGCAACTTATAAATCTAATATATCTCTTTTTTAGCAAATAGGTGTACTAGTATCAGGTTGTCACTTTATAGGTTTGGTATTTTTTTCAAGTGTCAATCCCCAAATATCCATTTCATATGTTCATCGTGCATCGTGAAACTTCAAAGCTGCGTGTTTGTTTTGCAATTTGTACGGTTTCTATTTCTGTCGGTTTTATCTTTCTGAGCTGTTCCAAAATGTAACAACTCAAAATAATGCATTTATGTTCTATTTTCTGTACTTCTTATATACATATATATAATATATGGCTATCTTTTTAGCGTAAACAGAAAAATTTGGTCTATAACTTTTGAAGTAATTAAACATATTTTATTTTAAAATTTTTAAGTTAACAATGCTTTCTTTTTTATAATACAAGTCAAGTTTCCTACCATATACGATACGACAAAGAAGTAACCAAAGAAACGTTAATAAAATTTATGACAGACGGAATATTGTTACAGGAAATAAAACAGGTATCCCCATTGTTATTGTTACATTAAATTTTACTGGCTAGATAAGTTTTGTCTTTGCAAGCATTTGATTTACATTTATTTGATGTAAATGTAAAAGTTTATTTTACCTACAGTTAACTGACCCTTGACCATACAACACTGCTAAAGTACTAGTACTTGAAGTACTAGCCATTATATAATTAAAACTCCTGTAGCGTTAGTTTACATTTTCTCTCTTTTTGTATTTCAAGATAAAATCTACCTACTGTTGTGATTATTGACAAAGTCACATAAAGAAAACAAGTTAATATATCGCATAGCGTTGTGATGTATTGATGAGTAATTTATCAGGAAATGAAAAATTCTTCTTAAAAATGTATGTCAAGATTTTATTCACTGACCCGCTCTTAAACTTACTAAAAGACAAAATCGAAGTTTTGAAAACTACAAAGTGACTACTGTATAAGAAATATATAATGTCTAATTATAAAATACAACTAAATTTTCAATATTTTTTACGTGTTCTAACCTTAAAGCTAGAGCTCATTCGTTCATTCATTTCTTCTTATCAACCTTTGGTCTAGGGATTGAAGCCCCTCCTCTTTACCAGTTCGCTCTCAAACAGCTGATTAATATTATTTTGTCTTGTCTAAAAACTGCGTTGTTAAACAGTTTGATGTAGACTAAGTTTGTTGCGTTGTTCTAAGTTTTTGTCCAGTAGACTAGGAATGGAGAATTCCTTGTACAACTTTTAAGGATTATCATATAGTTTACTTGAAATATGACTTTTCTGCTCACACCTGGATAGATTCAAGGGAATTACTAGAAACATGTATTTTAAAGTGTTAATAATAACTGAATCGTTACATTACAATAGATTAGTTATTAAATGATAAAAACAATTCAGAGCTGATAATACTTATATTCAGCGATTTCGTTTACTTTAGTTGTACTATCGTATTCATAGTGAATTTATTTGTTTAAAAAATGGTTGTGTGTGGTACGATGGAAGTGGTATAAACTGTTCACAAGAACCAGCTATTATTAAAAGGGAGTTATGTTTATAATTTAAGGAATAATGAAAAATGTTAACATAAATATAATTTTACACTTAGTAAATACGAAAAAAAGGAATGTTGCAGTGATGTCTAATTGATAATCCTGTAAAAAACAACTAGAAAAGAGTAAGAAAAAGCGATAGATTATGAAATACCAAAAGGTCTCCATAAATTTTATTTTAAATTCTCATCTCATGCACTTTGTGTAATAACAAGTTTTAATTAACGAACTTCCATTCACTATACTAGGTGTGAATTGTATAAATCGTTAGACTTTATTTAGTTTCACTAAAACATTTTCTATTTTTAAACTTTAACAAGGACTTTGAATTATCAAAATATTCTGCCATAATTGTGGATGAAGCTCATGAGCGTTCAATTTACTCTGATGTTATTCTTGGTCTCATATCAATGGTGGTAAGATTACGTCGTCGAAGGTTTACCGACAACATACCGACAAACGGTAAAGTACTGTTACCACTGAAATTGATTATCATGTCTGCAACTTTAAAAGTAGATGATTTTGCAGGAAATCGTCGTTTGTTTCCGCATAGTCCACCACCAGTAATTCATGTTGAATCACGTCAGTATCCTGTAGCATGTCATTTTGCCAAAGTAACACATCCAGATTATCTGAAAGCTGCATTTCGAAAGGTGAGTGATTGCATTTATATATAATCTGTAATACGAATTGATACAACAGGTTGGAAGAAAGCTAGGGGCGACCAGACCAAAACATGGCAGAAATCCATGAAGTCACTGACTAGTGGACTGCGTCATGTTGTTAGATGTAGACTACCTGGTTGGGGTCCGCGAGACGAAAGTCACCAAAGGTTGGCGACCTTGAACGACATGGCTCGGAATCGTTTGCAATGGCTCAAGTGCCTCCATTCTTTGAGCTCTCTGAAATCCTAATCTTCTGGATTCGTCAGCACCTCTACCTTTGTCTTTCTAACCTTATCTCACTGAATCATACTTCTTGAATAATATCTTCAAACCCTAGTCTTTTTCATTACCATTAATAACTCTTCTATCTTTATCACTATGGGATTTGATCTGACATCTGCGTCTTTGTGCTAATGTGGTATGGCAACATGAACTTATGTACATACGTACGTAGTTCTGCGTTGCAACTGACTGACTGACTGACTGAGAGCAGCATTACACCGCTTTCAGCTATAGTTTTATATATGTAAAATATGTCTGGGTTGCCTTACTCAGTAAATTTTTTAGTCTCAAAGCAATTCATTAGTTCACTGACTACCATCTAACCTCAGTACTGATTACTTAATAGCTGGACTATACACAACTAATCATAAGAAGCATCTTTTAGTCAAATGATAACAAACATACATATACCCGCAACTTTCGAAATTACACACACTGAATTACTCACCCAATGGATTGACACATCAATCACCTTATTTGTTTCATAGATAGTAGAATATAGCTATACAAGTGTAAGTTGTCCTTCAAGAAATTTCGTCTTTTTGTTGCTCCGGTAAAATCAAGAAATAATTTTCTGAATTTACCGTATTCCATGAAGCACCATGAATGAAAAGTGACATTTCACAATTGCTAGACCGTAATTTTTTCCTACTGAGAAAGCGCTCATACATCAAGTTAATGTATTGTATTAACCATCGTTTAACAAAAATGTGCATCATTAACGTGTGATTAATTTTGCTAATCTTATCATTTTTATTTCATCAGATTGTATCAATTCATAAAACTTCACCACCTGGTGGAATTCTAGTGTTTGTTACTGGTCAACAAGAAGCAAATACACTTTGCAATTGGCTTACACGAGCATTTCCCAAACTGGATGATCAAATGGTGGATGTAACCAATGACAAATCTAATAAAAGTTATGGACATCGAAAAGAACGAAAGAAATCAAATGAACCTATCAAACCAATTGCTTCATCGAATTCATCAAATAATACTGTTTTAGAAGAAAAAGATCATATTAATGTGGGCATTGATTTAAATAAGTGAGTTGACTGTGTGATAATTTTTAATAATTGTAAATATTTCGAAAATGTTGACTACTATGGACGATGAACAACTTAACTGAAATTGTATGCTCATATTACAGAAAATTATTTCGATGGATAATGATTAACGTAGATTTTTCTTCCTGCTTGTTTGCATTTCTTGGCAATCTCTTCTATTCTACATACTTACTGCTGTTCATATTCCTTTGCTCCAACATTTGCATCATTGTAAACTTGCTTTAGCTAACTTTAAGTTCTTTAAATTTTGCACTTATTTTGTGTTGGAGATATTAGATCCCCAGAACTTACTTGATAAAGGTCCTTATTTTGTATTTTGTGCTTCCGCGTACGGGCTGATCAGTTGAGCTTGAGATTACATTTCCCACCCGGAAAATCCTTGACTGTCATTGATTGATGTGTTATTTTAGTACGCTAATTTTGTGGCTCCCCCAAGGACGTTTCTATCATTTATAAATAAACTCAATTTGTGTGCTTGAGAGCCTCGATTTTTTGAGTGTTTGTAGAATACACTCATACACCATATCAAGACTTAGTGGGGCCTCGGGACTCTCGGATTAGAGTAGCCTATCGTGTCACTGGATCATTTGTCTTCGCTCTCGTTTACCGAGTAAGGTGAACTTGTAATAGTTTCAAGCATATCAATCGACGAGCATAACATTTTGTTCGAAAATAAACTATCCACTGTATAGTATATACTAAAGGTATTGTAAACCTTTATACCTTATTGTTCGAACGTTTACTAACGGGCTGGTTCATTTCTAACCTCAGTTTTTCCTTCATAATAGACAGGACATAACGCTTAATAAGTCTTATTGTTATTAAATCTGTGAGATTTTTTTGAAACCCATCTAGTTTTGCAACACTGTTACCAGTGGGCATTGTATTATTTCCAAGTGGCATTTCTTAGAGTAAAACTATCAGTATTATTGTAATTATTCAAGTCTAAATTATACTGATTGTTTTTTCTTTTCTTGCAATGTTTGTCAATAAATCTGTGTATTTTGTGATTGGTTAAACTGTATCATAGTTGTGTTCATCATTAAGTAATAATTACATAACTATTGTTTTACATATAAGTTTGTAATTATTGCTGTATATTCTTTATCAGCTTTGATATTATTCCTGCTGATGAGGAGACAGAAATTGGTCATACTCGAATCAAGTCTAAAGAAGTTGTTGCGTCAAAAGAAAAACAGTCGAATAATGTTACTTTTGAAACTGTAGGTGATAGTGATGTTGAAGAGATTGGTGAAGATGATGATATACTGGGGCAAATTAATGAAATTCGTAATGAATCTTATCCAGTAAGTTCAGTTTGATGTTTGATTGATTGAAATCAACTGCATATCGACTTGTAGTGTTTATGTCTGAATAATCATTTTGTCATTTAAATTCTATTTCTGACAATGTTATTTCATTATGGATTGTTTGTATTCTGTACAGTTTTGTAATCAATAGTGTAGTGTAACTAAAAAAATAGTCTTATTGATGACTGGATTTTATCCGGTTCTTTGAAAATATTGATTTATCACTTATGAGTATGCTATGTTGAAGTGTATAGTATTGAATTTTTCATAGGATATTTCAAATGATATTTTATGTAATAGTTAGTTTTTTCTTTCTTTGTTAGATTTAAGTTGGTTTACTATGTTTGTCTTAATTATTGATTGATACAGTTTTTAGTTATATTGGTTTGTATTAATATGTTATTTTGAAAAAGTCCCATTTCCAAATGAATGAAGAACCTGTTTTTTCTATGAGTTAGATTTCGATTACTGGCTTAAGTATTTTTTAAGTATCGCTGAAGATATTTGTATTCTTTAAACGTTGTGTATTATCTTTCATATGTATTAAGATTACGTAATAAAATATTTGTTACATAATAGTCATATTAAACAGAATATAATGTTTCCAATTTTATACATTTTGAGAATTCGACTTTTAGACAGTCATTTATACTTGTATTTTGTTGTATTAGTTGAGTTAAATATAAAGAGACGTTACATGAACTTCAACAACACAGTCCCGATTTATGCAAAAACTACATAGAGTTGTTCAGCTTTGTAAAGGCTGTCTTCCGTTTTAGTTAAATATAGGATTTTCTTATCGATCAATGTAAAATTTTGTCAATATAATTTTTTTATTTTTTCATCCCAAGTTTAATTATTCAATGATGTTTGTGGAATTCACTACATATGTATATATTATTTAACCTAAATATGTACTTACTTACTTGATTATAGGGACCAGTTTATGCTTTACCATTTTATTCATTATTACCACCGGAACGTCAACAAAGCGTATTTCAACCACCACCTGAAAATCATCGTCTTATTGTTGTAGCTACTAATGTTGCAGAGACTTCAATAACAATCCCAAATATTCGATTTGTTGTAGATACCGGCAAGGTAAGTTGTTTTTAGTTCGTAGATATTCTCGGTATGATTATAAGTGATTTGGTAAAATTATTAATGTTTTGATATAATTTCTGATCAAATCCTAATCATATAGTCTAACGATGACGCATTTACTAATTCACTGCCCGAATATATATATATATATATATATATATATATATATATATATATATAATTTATAGTCAGTCAGTCAGTTACAATGTAGATCTTCGTACGTGCGTATATCATTTCAGGTTGCCATGCCGGATTAGCACAAAGAAGCAACTGTCAGTTCAAATCTCATAGCGGTAGCGATAGTAGAAATATTAGCAGTAATGGAGAAGATTAGGGTTAGAAGATGTTATTCAAGAATCAAGCCTGTGAAATAAGTTTAGACAAAGAAAGATAGAGGTGATAAGGAATTCAGAAAACTAGAATTTGGGAGAACACAAAGAGTGGATGTACTTGCGCAATTGCAAACGATTTTAAACCATGTCGTTCAAGATCTCTAATCATCCGTTACCTTCGTCTCATGGACCCTAACCAGGTGGTCTACACTTACCAACATGACTCAATCCAATTGTCAGTGACTTCATGGATTTGTGCCATGTTTTGGCTTGGCCGCCCTTAGCTTATATATATATATATATATATATATATATATATATATATATATATTCACCTCTACAAATAATGCTTGTAACCTGAAAACAATATCGCTTCAATCCACACAGAATTCACATATGCCAAAAAGAGACTGATCAGTTGCAGTCCTAATTATCAATGTGAAAAATCAAACAACCAATACAAGTGAATTAATCTTCATATATATCAAGAAATTCAGTCTATTGCTTATATAAGCAAATTATTTAACCAAGATTATCTGGAAAAAATAGTTACCTAATAGATAAAAAATAATTTTTCATAAATAAAAACGAACATGACACGATGATCAGTGGATTTTTTCCGCTTGTCATATAATCTCTTATACCAAACGGCAGAAGATCTGTATTACATAATGACTGTAAATGTCTAACATTCATGTAAATCACTAAACTTTTCCGAATCGTCTCCTTTGCTCATTCCTTGTTTTTGATATTTCGTCGTCCTTAGTTCATATGTACTATATTCAAAATATCTAAATAACAAATTACCTTGCATATAAATGCTCTGATTCAATAGAATTTACCCTCTCTCAATTTCTATGCAATAGATTCATTGAATTCTAAACGATCTGGGACTATTTTCTTTAAATAAATAGATCTTTACTTTACTACATGATGTTTGTTTACGTTTTTCCTTCAGTTGTTTTTGCAATCTATAAAGCTCCTATTGTTATATAGAAATGTCACGGTTTATTAATGTTGTATATTAGTTAATCAGTTAAAAGTCATTTCATTTCTCTATACTACCAGTTATTAACATAATTTTCTGATGAAAATAAGATTCATTAATGTGGATTACTGTTTCAATATTATAGTTCTAATAATGAATTTTTTTCCTTTACAAAAAAACAACTGATCACTTACTGTTTAGGTAAAAACCAAAGTTTACGAACCAGCTACTGGAACTTCCAGTTTTGAAATTATCTGGATTAGTCAAGCATCGGCTGAACAACGTGCAGGACGAGCTGGTCGTGTTGGTCCGGGTCATTGTTATCGTCTTTATAGTTCACAAATTTTTTCAAGTATGAAACAATTCTCTACTCCTGATATATTGTCACGTCCAATCGATGAAGTAGTTTTAATGTTAAAGGTAATATTTTGTCAAAAGAAATGAAATTGTTACATATATATATCAGTCAGTCAGTCAGTCAGTTGCAATGTAGAACTTCGTACGTAAGTACATCAGTTCGTGTCGCCATACCACATCAGCACAGAGATGTAATTATCAATTCAAATCCAATAGTAGAAGAGGTAGTAAGGTATTAGAAGTAATCGGAGAGGTTAGGATTAGAAGATATTATTCAAGAAGTATTATTCAGTGAGAAAAGTTTAGACAGTCAAAACTAGAGGGGTTGAAGAATCCAGAAGATTAGGATTTGAGAGAACACAAAGAATAAATGCACCGGCTCCATTGCGAACGATTTTGAGCCATGTCATTCAAGGTCTCTAGCCATCGATTAATATCATCTCGCGGACCCCAACCAGGTAGTCGACACCTACCGACATGGCTCAGTCCACTCGTCAATGACTTCATGGATTTCTGCCATGTTTTGGTTTGGCCACCCCTAACTTTCTTCCAACCTATTCCTACACTACAAAACAATATATATATATTATATAGTTCAGTAGCCCTTTTTCCTAAATGTTACTTTGGATCTCAGTAGTTATTTCTTTTTTTCCTTTTCTTCAATAAATTGTAGCAAAGATCATTATAGAATTAAAATGTTCATGTAATTGTTTTACGCAAGGGAATGCCTCACACGTCTAAATCTACGCTGAATAAATCATTAATAAAATTTTGCAGATACTCTTAATAGATTCTTTTTTGTTTACAAGATTTTATCCCCGATATGTATTCGATTTACAAGCCACAGTTTCGTATTTATGTCTATGTTTACTTGTGTCGATTTATCTTACTGTTATATTACATGTTCAATTATGTTATTATACGCGTAAGCAATCCAGTTATTTCTATTTCTTTATCAGTTGTACCTGGGCAATACGAAACTCACATTGTTTCCTTTACCAACTCCTCCTTCACCACAAGCAATTGAAGTAGCTGAACGTCGACTGATTGCTCTCGGTGCCTTAAAAGAGATTACCAATGCTTCTGGAGGTAAGTTCATTGCAAATATTCGTAGAAAAAAAAATTAATTTCTTTTAATATGATCCGTCTCACCACTTATTTATCATCATATACTTTTATTATTTTTTTTAAGGTGTATCTCGTATAATTACAGACGCTGGTAAATGGATGACACGTGTTCCAGTCCCTGCACGCTTTGCACGAATGTTATTATTTGCAAATCAGTGTCAATTAATGCCATATGCTGTAATACTAGTTGCTGCTTTATCTGTACCAAATCTCTTCGTATCTCAAGTTTCAGACATACCTCTTTCAGAACAAGAGAAAACTTTTCAGTCGAATTTTGTTCAACAGTTTGTCAGAAAAGTGAGCATCTTCTCTCATTGTAAATTCATTTTATTGTTTCTGATTTTAGTAATATGGATTCTTATTTACTAATATTTTCTCTTCACTATGTTACTAATACGTTTCAGTGTGAATTTTCACAAAAAATCTTGGTTCTTTCTTCATCGACGATATTCTTATTGGCAGTTCTTTTTTTAACTACGAAATAATCATCATTAGGTCTACCTTTCATATCAGATTAGTCATGAACATCTTGAATGTACGAAAATATACATATTTCCAATGGATTCATTTCCATTTAAGATGCTCTGCATACAACTAAGAAATGTGCATGAAAGTCAACACGTTAGTTTGGTGATTTAAGCAGTCGATTTCCAGCCAGTGAGTGTTCAATCCAAACCTTGCTACATCCTTTTTTAGTTTGAACAACTGAGTAGTGTCAGTGTTCCTTCTTTTTACCAAGTGCCAATATGGGAATCAAATGGTACTAGGTTTGAATCCTGGAGTAATTCCCAACTCTGGGATGCAGACATATCCAGCTGACGAGTCCCGAATAAGTCGAAGCGTGCGTCCTGGATGTTAGTGATGACCACTACCCACACTTGCAGGTAGACGGTCCAGTAGGATGGTGTCATTTATTTTTGGTTTTTCATTACCAAAGCAGAACACATCACGAGTGTGTATCTGTCTGATGTGTCTTACTTCACATCAGGTCAACAAAAGAAAATCATCAAAATGAAAAGCATACAATGCCAAATTACATAAAAAACAAAGGAATTTTAATTCTGAGGAATGAAGTTCAAAAGAAACAAATGTAATTTCGGAATGGAAAGCATGGAACCATACTTAAAATGTAACTTGGGGATATGGAATGTTTATGATTAGGTCACACACACCTTGTCACATGCTTCTGCAATCAAAGATTGCGAGTATTGCCTAGGCCTTGAATAAATAGCCTGCTCTTTTCGACATGACTTAGAGTAACAGTCAATGACTCTGTAGACTGATACCATAGTTTGATTTATTAGTCACCAGCTTTTGTTCAGTCTACTCCTATGTTAGCTAACACTGCACACCTGGTTTGGTGGTGTTTACACTTGAATAGCACATGGCCTAGAAACGTTGGTGATTAAAGCGCCATGGTCTCATCCATGGACTTATCCTTTTTAATTAGTACTCTAACCGTAACCTCATCATTACTCAATCAGTGGTCGCGCCATATGCGAGAAGTGTTTCGAAAACACCTATGCTCAAGTACTTCCAACTTACTCATGATTTCCGATTTTACAGGGTATTTTATACAGCTGCGCAGAATGTTTAAGGTTTGTCTTAAAATGACCTCTTCGCATATATATACATTTATCCAGAAGTTGACATCTTAAATGTCTGTAGCAGTATGAAAGCTCAGAACTCATCGCAAACTGGTAATAGATTTAAATAACTCAGCTCCTTTTTATATACTATATTTGCACTTAGACTCATTTTTATCTTAAGAGTTATATATGATGCCTAGCAGTCTCCTGATCAGAAATAACAGAGTTGTTTCTAAACTTGTTATCAGTTTATCTAAGACCAAGATCGCCTCATCTATGGAACCAGACCTCTTCATTAAATTAGCGATTTTCAACGAATATCTTAAGGGTGCTTATAATATCCTTCGTTTAACTGGTTTAGAAAATTTATTGTATCATATCAGTGCATAAAGGCTCTGAATTTCATTCTTACCGGTAGTTGTAAAACGTTTTAATTTGCAATATTGTATCCATGTATATTCTTATCATATTGGATTGATTTTCTTGTAGAAAGAAGATTTATGCTTAGGAGATCTTTCAGTATTACTAGGAACTATATGTTGTTTAGAGCGCTATTCAGCTCAGCTCAGCGGACTGACTCCTGCAGAGCCTGGTATAACTGAATCTGTTGGTGGGAAAACCTATGTGTCACGTGATCCTGAAGGTGCATTACGACAGCTTGTTCATCGATGTGGTGTTCGATGGAATGCATATAAAGAAGTTAGACAGCTTCGCAAACAACTAACCGATATTTGTAAGTTTCAAGTTGTATGTCTATTAAATGATTTATTTTAAGCTGGAAGGATCATGAGTCCTTTTAATTATGTTCATATTTATACATCTGATTGAGTCTTGGACATTTTTACAAACTACCCTTCGTAGCCCTGTATATCGTAATAAACCAGGCAATTCATGGACTTTTGATTCTGTATCTATTGATCAGATCTGATCACTCTTTCGAATAATAACAACCCAATTAGTAGAATTTGTAGAATAGATAAAAATTTTACATTTTTATTAACTAGCAATCCAAATTTTTTATAATCATGCTCTTTCTAAAGTTTTCCTTTTTACAGGTTCAATGAAAAACAACATGTTTACATTATTTTTTTTACTTTTTATACTATCATTATAGTGAATGTGATTATTCCAGATCTTGGCCTTTCAATTGATTTATGCTTACCTAAACCTAGTGATTTCCAAATGAATCAACTAAGACAACTGTTTCTTGTTGGTTCACCTTGTCAAATTGCTAAAAAGTTAAATGTTCCTGTTACTGGCTTACCAGGTAGTGAACGCCGTAGATTACGTTACGCTTATGAAGTAAGTACACTTTAATACATTTCATTGTATATATTTTACTGTAAAATTTGATACTTTACTTTTTTACGGAATATTTCGAACATGTTAGTCTATTCTGATTATGCAGCAAAATTAGTGTTGTAATTCCTTAATCAACTTGCACATGAAACTACTGCTCTCTGAATTCGTTTTGATATATATTATAACTGTAATAGTAATGTAGTGAACGAGAACACTGGTGGGGCAACCGGATTGTATTTAACGAAAATTACAGAGTTACTCAGTAAAATCGGAAAACCATATTGTAAATCGTTAATTTGCAAAATATCAGTTCATCATATCGAACTGGACTGTTTCTGTTGCAAAACATCAATCCGTTGTCACTATTCATGCGTTTCATACAAATTCCATTGCGTTCCCACTCTTCCTTTCTTGATCTTCCCTCATCTTCTGCTGCCAGACATAACGTTTTCACTCATGTCATATACTACTTATAAGTAGCTCGCACCACAGTAATAGTGAACTGTATTTATTTTTGTATATGAATTGTCTTTAGATTCCACTGTCTTTTATTGATTTATTTTTGCTTTGTATTCAGACTAGTGATATTATGCATTTCAAATTAGCTTACTCTGATTTTATTTGTACAATGCTTTGTAGATTCCTGGCAAACAAGGACCTGTATTTATTGATTCGAATTCCCCTTTGGCACGCGAAAACTTCTCCTTCGTTGCTTATTTAGAACTACACACTACTTCAAAATCATATCTACGCTGTAAGGAGAAAGATTTTTTTCTTGAGTTTCTGTCTTCCGTTGTTGTTGGAAGTTTTATTAAATCTCAACATGTTCTGTTTCTCAACTTTGTTACAATTTCTTACATTCTGATCTCTTGGTAAATTTAAACAAATTCATAGAAACAAAATTTGGAGAAAAATATGGATTCACTGTATTTCAATGTTCCTCACTAGTTGTAAATTCAAGTCGTGTGTAGCATATATATATCTATGTATACGGGGGATGTATAAGTAGACTTGACAATTTTCATTGACATGCCTTTCAAGTCAGTTACAAATACACTTAAAGATTTAAAATTTTAGAAAATGCTAAATTGACTGAACTCTCGTAGCCTTCGTTCATACATGTCTGTTTTAACTACAGTTGGTTTCTAATTGAGAGTTACATCTTGTATTTAATAGAAGAAGTCATATTACTAAATGTATGTATGTTTTCGATGGGTAAATTTGTAATCAAGTTCATTTTAAATATATTCATCTATGTTTATGCATATTTATTTTTCGATTTATCTAAAATTTTAGCTGTTTGTGCTATTGATCCTGGATGGATACCATTCTTGGCACCTCATAGTTATGCAGTCAATGAGCTTGTATTGACAGATAATGTTGAAACCATTGAAAAAAAGTCTGAAAATCTTAGTGTATCTAACGAATTGAATGTGAATGCAAGTGACGATGATGATGATAATGATGGTAATCATGGTTCTAAATCTACTGCAAATACACCAAACTCTCTTGTATCCCTTCCTACACCACATTATGATTCAGAACGTGATATTATTGTTACAGGTGCAAAATCTATTACATATATTGGATTAGGTATTGTTCCTGAATCTAGTGCACCTTTTGATAATCAATTTTTGGATCTACCGAGTTCAGTTCTTGTTCCTATAAACAGTATTGCTGCAGCTCAATCATTAGGCTATAAGGAATCATTAACATGGAGTGTTCGATGGTTTACTCGTTACCTTTTAGAAGGGCTAATATTTCCTGAATTGAAAAATTGGTTTCCTTTAAAATTGAAAAAGAGTATTTCACCACAAATTGTAACGGTTTCATGGGGAATGTAAGTTTTGAGTAATTCTTATAATTAACATGATATTCATTATTATTCATCAAGATTCAGAGAAGTTGCATGTTATATTCTTTTTTCATATACGTGTTTTTTTTCTCCCTACTGGAGTGATATTCCGACATTGATGTATACAACTTTTTAGCATAGTTTACCTGTTGTTTTCATCCACACTGCTCTTTTAACCAGAAATGAATACTTTTTCTGGGCTTAGCTATTTCTGTTTAAAACTAGGACAAATTATAAGTCTATCCTTTATTCTCGTGTAATAGTTTTAATGCTATCTATTGAAGCTTGTTCCATGTTATTAAAGTGAAAATGTATTCAGCTTTTTCTTCATAACAATTAAACAAATGCTGTGATTCTAAGAATCATTAATGTTTTTCGTTGTTTTGCATTCATCCAGTATTTATTTAATTGTCTGACCATAAAATCGGTTTGGTCACAATACCTAACGGTTGTAAATAGGATTAATTGGATGCTATTTAATGATTTGTTGCGAAATGGTTTTTGTCTAAAACTATTTAGTAGCATGTAATAAGGTAGAATGATGAAAATGATTTTTCAGTGTATTATGTGTAATATTACTTATATATTCCCGTTTATTTTATTTTACAGCATTCGCCCTGAAGTGCGTTCTATGATATCTCTCCTTGTTACCGACAAGATCGATTCAAAGAGGAAACTGTTACAGCAGTGGGAATCCGACACCCAATGTAAGTGATAACTCATTCTTATCGTTGATTTTTATAGATCTTTCAAAAGAACTGGCTTCTTGGATACGCCCGGAATATATCAATGATTTCCATGCATCGTGGCCACTGATCCAAAATCGCTCCACATCTTGAATCTGAAGTGCAGTTTCGAACTTGTAAAGTATTTTTTATCTTTACTATTGTCTTTCTTCTCAATACATATGTACAGTAGTATGCATTTGCTTCACCTTTCAGTATCAAAATCAGAATTGGTAGTCAGCATTTATGACAAGTCTGTATCTGTATTTGTTGTAACGGTTGCTTAGATAATTCCCGGCTAATCCTATTGCTTAGTATTCTGTGACACAAAACTCTGGACAAGTTCTCGAAAAATCAAAACACGGTTGAACAGGAAGGATTATATTCCAAAATAGCAAGGAATAAGAACCCAGAGGTGATGGCGAAGGCCAAGGCAAGAACTCAAAAATAAATACAACGCTAGTCTATTTATAGCCTTTACATGAGAAAGCTTCTGGAAGAAAATTCACGTGATCGACTGGATTAGATTTAACCAATCAGCATGCAGCTAATAATACGAGAAATTTCTATCCTGTTCTCCAAGCTTCGATCAGGCGCTGATTGGGTAGGAATTTAGCCAATCAGCGCGCAGCAACGTAATCGTGCTTTAACTCCATCTATGTCACACTAACAGTATTGCATTGTTTATTTTAGTGTATTGGTAGATTGATTTTGGGTATCTTATATTCCAGTTAGTTACCATTATAAATTCCTTCTAGTATTAAACAGTTTCTTCGGAAGGTAATCAGGCTAGTATTTACCATGTGCTTGTGATAAGTCAATTGAGTCAATACTTCTCTGCTCTAAGACCTGCAAAATAGTATTGATCTTTCAGAGTGCTTACTGATTCAATGGGAGTGTCCGTTTTTGTGCTAATCTTCTTGCACTCACATAGTAGGTGTGACGTATTTGAATAACTGTTCACTTCCGAATCTGAAGTTCGACGTAATAGTTTGTATAAGCGACGCTTAACAAAACAGTTTGTTGAGTGTTCCTGCATAAAATTATGCCACATTTTTTAGTGCTTAGGTTTTTTAATTGCTGCTCTTATAATTCGTTGTGGGTCATAAGTAGCTGTGGTCACAGGTTGAAAAATATCCCGAATATGTAGAAAAGTATTTGACAAGAATTATTTGCGTTATCTTCACTCTACGTTTCTGGTTGCCTTCTAGACGTACCGTTGCAGTTTTCCTGGCTTACCGTGTCTCATATAGGTATTCAGGGAAAGAATCGTTTATCTGAAGTATGGGTTTTAAGGCATTTTCGGTGTTAAGGTTGTTTGTTCCCAGTAGGTTGATCTGTTTGTTATGTCCGTAGAAATGTCATCTCATGAATATTAAGAAATGTAAACAAAACTTCGTAGTAATTGTCGGCCATAGCTGCTACCTTGACGTGGTGGTCGGGCTTGCCTATCGCGATGACTCAGTCGGGCTATATTATCCGAAACACAAGTCTATTCAGGCCCTATCACGCCAGGCAGGTCGATTCGAGAACCGTAAGACTAAAAGCAACAACTCAAGATCTGAGGGCGAAGTCGTATTGCTAACTGTAGAGGGGTGTGACAGCAGTAAGGTGTTTCCCTCGGACAACCAGCATCTGCGGCGTTGCTGCCTTCTCACAACGGAAGTAGAGGGTTTGAAAAGGTGGACCCTACAAATGTCACACCTCACCTTACCTCACGAATTTCCGCATTTAGCGATAAAGCGGAGCTAACAGTTTAGACACTTCTCTTAGAGACACCGTGCTCGAATAGCCTTAAGCAGTTATCGCTTAGGCTCCGCGGTCACGTTTCCCAGGTTGCTAAGACCAAAACTAACCCAACTTACTTGCCAGGATCCAGAAGAAATATCCTTCCACAGTGTGGGGAACCAGGACGCGACATCCGCCCTCATACCCCTAACATCACACGAGAGCTGATCGGCAACAATCGAATCCTTCACGCACCTAATATCTCTCCTACCTACACGAATTACCCTTCTCACGTTCCTTCATCACATTGCGCCCCTGATGTATATGACTCAAGTATACGCAGCGTTATTCCTGAAACCAAGCCCTATGCTTCATTTTGAAGCATTTAATGTTCGAACCTTGTGCCAAGTAGGGCCTGTATCGGATATGACCATAGAATTTCGTGCCGGCGAAGTTTTGTGCGTCTTCGAAACGAGCATACAGGATACTAGTAAAATCACTGTTTCGATTTCCCCTTGTTCGGATAGAGAACCAACTCGGTTTACTCTTAGTGTATCTGGAAGCTCTGATGCTGCTCCCCGGGGTCTCGGTACCAGGAATCCATGTGTCATAGTAACTATCACAGAAAAGGATGATCTTATCATTCGTTCTCGATCCAGGAGATTGGTTTGATCGGCAGAACACTTCAGGGAAATGTTCAACTGGAGTTCAGCAACCCCTCTGTTACCAACGATTGATATAAGTCCGCCTACGTTAAATGAAGTTGAAAAGGCAGTAGGATATCAGAAATGAGGGAGAGCATCAGGGCCTGGTGGATTAACAACTCAGACTTTTAAGGATGGTGGTCTAAATTTAACAGTTAGATTGACCGAGATATTACGTAGAATCTGGGAACTGGACGTAATCACATCCGACTGGTAGAAATCCCTGATTGTTTCAATCTTTAATAAAGGACAAAGTTCCTCTTGTGACAGTCACATAGGAATTAGCTTAAGTGATATACTATATAAAATATTGGCCGAATTAATAATCCGACGCCTGAAGAAGCTCGTAAAAGTGCAGAGTAGTGAAAACGAGGCTGATTTTCTATCTGGTTGATGTATAGACCAAATATTCACACTACAACAGGTCTGGTGTAGTGAAGGAAAACCATATCTTAAACAGTTAATTTACAAATCTTCAATCCATCATCAATCCCTTGTCCGACATTTCACTATTCATGCGTTTCATACAAATTCCATTGCGTTCCCACTCTTCCTTTCTTGATCTTCCCTCATCTTCTGCTGCCAGACATTACATTTTCACTCACTTCATATACTACTTATAAGTAGCGCGCGCCAAACTGGAACACAGACACACATATAAGCGCCCGACAATAGTTGTCTTCCTTGATCTTAAGGCGGCATTTGACTCAGTGGATCGTGAGGTTCTGTGGCAGTGTTTGTCATTGAAAGGTGTACCAGAGAAGTACATCAACCTTGTACAAGCCCTCTACTCGAGCACTATAGGTTGAGTGAGAGCTTATGGGAAACGTTCATCGGAATTCTTTACTTCAAATGGTGCCTGTCAGGGATGTCCACTCTGTCCGTTCTTGTTTAACTTTGTCACAACGAAAATGTGACTGTTTCGCTGGTGGAATCAAATTTGTTTCATCGCCTTACGTCACTGTGATATAAGAACATGTAGCAGGCAATAATATTTGCACTTGTACGAGTCCTCCTGGATTATTGAAACAGGGTACATGCGCTCTCGACTGTTGTTTCGTTACGTTCTGCCTAATAATGTGTATTTTAGTAAGCGATTAGCGTCTACTTGGAACTTCGGCAGCTGTTTATAAAAGAAACAGATTTATTTTGCATACGATAGACTCAACAAAATTCATATATGTGTTGTAACGTTAGCTTGAATAATTCCCAGCTAATTCCTATTGCTTAATATACTCTGACCACAGTACACTGGACAAGTTCCAAAGAATCAAAAACGCGGTGGAACAAAAAAGATTATATTCCATATAGCAAGGTTGAATGGAAAAACGAAGCCAAAGGTGAAAGCGATGGCGAAGGCAAAAATAGATACAACGTTAGTTTCTGTTTAGTAATAACATGAGAAGCTTCTGGATTGTAATTCACGTGATCGACTGGATTAGATTTAGCCAATCAGCGTACAGCTGATTTTTTTATTAACATTTTCGGCTGACACGCTTTGTTTCTATCTAATACGGTTTTACCTGAACTAACACATTGACAATGGATTTTTTCCAGCTAATAATAATAATAATAATTTATTCTCAAACAACAAATATGTTACAAGAGACATGCCAATTTACAGGCAATACTTTTACCATTCACAATCTGACGATAACGCTATCTCAGATTTCAAACTTCCTGCATATGGTGCTAGTAATCCTAGAATGTGGTTCTCACAAATTGAAGCCTTATTCCTAGCAATAAATATACGCGCACAAACGCGCGTACTACCCATAGACATAGCCGCCCAAGTTGGAGACCTGATTGAACAAGTTCCTGTGATTGACCCATATGACAAAATTAAAGCTGCTTTAATTCAGTGAATTTTAGCATCCGATGAAAAAAATTTTACAACAACTGTTAACGTCATGTGAACTGGGAGACAAAAAACCATCCCATTTATTCAGATACATGAAAGAACTGTCAGGACCGTATAAATTAGACGAAACCTTACTCAAACAACTTTGGTTTCAATGGCTACCACATATCGTTAGACAGATTCTTACAATAACCATAAGCTCAATCAACCTAACAGATTTGGCTGACAGAATAACGTAAATTTATCCAGACAGCCAGGGAGTTAATTCTGTACAAACCACCAGTATAGATAATATGTGTCACGTTCTGAATCTTCAACAAATGATAACGCAACTGACAAAGCAGATAAAAACGTTACGAGCCTCGGTAGCAGTGATTAGCACTAGACCAACTACACCTTTCTCTAAAAGAAGATCATGCTCCCGACATCACTCCAAGTCTCCTAAAAGGGCAACCGGTATTTGTTGGTACCACCAGAAGTACCGTGAGAAAGCTCACCGCTGCACAAAACCTTGCTTTTTCCCCACAAACAGTCAGGAGACACAGAGAAACTGGCCTGCCAGATAGTGGTGGCGGCGACTGCCTCTGGCCACGCTGCAAGCCGTCTCTTCCACATCAGGGACAGGATTTCAGGCTCAGACATCTTAGTCGATACAGGAGCCGAAATAAGCGTCATCCCTCTTCAACACTCGTGACGGCAACTTATTACTAATAGTAAGGTAACACTACAGGTGACAAACGAAACGTTCATCAAAACGTATGAGGAACAGTCTCTAATACTTGACCTTGGTCTTACACGGCGTTTCACGTGGGTTTCTCGTAGTAGCTCATGTCAAACAACCCATACTTGGAGCAGATTTCCTTACTGCTTATAACCTGGTAGTAGACGTGCGTGTC